CCAACCACTTCATTAGCTCTGGAGCTACTTGTACTTGTCTTCCACTCTTCCTCATTAGCATGTTGGATGCCTTCCGACCTGAGGAGCTCATCTTCCAGCGTCATATCTTTTAGCCATTTGTTTCTGTCCATGGAGTTTTCTTGGTAAAGATACTGGAGTGGCTTTGCAGTTCCTGCTCCAGGTGGATCGCGTTTAATCATAATTCTCCACTATGACCTGTCCATCTTGGATGTCCCTGAACGGCATAGTCCATAACTTCTCTGAATTACTCAAGCCCCTTCACCATGAAAAGGCAGCAATCTGTGAAGGGGATTTACTACAGAATTTTGGCCAGTTGTAGATAGATTTAAAATACTGTGGCCTGGGTCAGACACAACTTTCCTGATCCAACAAATCCTAGTTCACCAGAGTGGAAATGAATGACAAGCTCACACAATCTCTCCTTTTGTGATTGATTTAACACAGTGGTTCTTAACCTTTGTTACTCAGGTGTTTTTGAACTGCAACTCCCAGAAACCTCAGCCAGCAGATCTGATGGTGAAGGCTTCTGGGAGTTGCAGTCCAAAAACATCTGAGTAACAAAGGTTAAGAACCAGTGAACAGATGATTTCATGATTTAATAAATTGAGGTTTTGTAATAGGGTACAAAGAAAACTTTTGTATAAGTGCTGTCAGACTTACACAGTACCTTGTGAACTTCGTAAGGAGCAGTTAAACCCCAAATCCTAGTACAGATGCTATGAGGAAATTGTCTTAATAACTCAGGAAGTATTTTCTGAAGCGTGGGAGCAAGAGGGATATGAAGCTAATTGTTTTTCTGTGCCAAAAGTGAATCATGACTGAATTTGGCCAACAAACTGCTAATTCATTGACGGCCAGTATAGGGACCACTGAGGGATTTCTCTTGTTATTTCTCCTCCATCCAATCCTACAAAATTTAAACTGTTTTCCATACCTGCCTGAATCTTTCCTGAACATGAATTAAAGCTTTGAGATCATAACCTGTGAAGATGTCACAGCTGATAAAGATATTCAGATTATATGATTTGGAAATTAGTGTTGCTGGTTCTCAGAATGCAATATTATAAAGACCAGAGTGATTTCAAAGCAGACAGTTCTGCTTTTGTAGCCAACATCAGATCTCAGTTATTCTTAATTCAAGTCTTAAGTCATGAAAGTGAGAAATAGCATTTATATTTTTCACCTAATGAGAAGTTATCTCATAGGAATATAACTTGGAACTCCATGCACATTGCCTAGTCTGCATAGCAATATGCTGCAGATAGATTAGGCATCCTTTAGTCTTGAGAGACTATGGTAACATGTTCTGTATGCAGGACTTGGATCAGTGTCTAGTGTGGCTGAGAAGGCCAATTCGAGAGTGACAATCCCTTCCACACTGAAGACAAATACAATCTCTCCCCTGTCCAGCTCCCTGATTTTGCTGCTTTCAGGACTTTCTCTGCTTCGGCCTGCTGGATAAAGGTCTCTTCGAAATGGGAGAGGCTGTGATACACCGCCTGCCTCCGGGCTGAACACTCAGATGTCAGGGTTTCCTATCTGTTGAGGTCCATTCCTAAGGCCTTCAGATCCCCCGTGCAGATATCTTTGTGGTCTCCCTCTGGAGCAATTTCCCTGCGCTAATTCTCCATACAGGTGATCTTTGGGAATCTGACCATCAGCCATTCTCACAACATGCCCAAGCCAACATAGACATTGCTGTTTTCATAATGTATACATGCTAAAAATTTCAGCTCGATCTAGGACTACTCTATTTGGAACTTTGTCCTGCCAGGTGATACCAAAAATGTGTCAGAGACAACGCATATGGAACGTGTTCAGCTTCCTCTCCTGCCATCCACAAAGGATCCAGAACTCACTGCAGTACAGGAGTGTGCTCAGGACATAGGCTCTATAGTGTTGGATCTTGGTATATGTTGTCAGCTTCTTACTGAGCCATACTCTCTTTGTGAGTCTTGAGAACATGGTAGCTGCTTTGCCAATGCATATATCCAGCTCAACATCTAGGGAGAGAGTGTCAGAGTTCATTGAGCCAAGGTATACAAAGTCATGAACAATTTCCAATTCTT